TGGTGCGGCCGATGGCCTCATCGCGGCCACGTTGCAACGGAGAGGCACACCTGAAAACACAGGGCGGCTCAGCCGGGCTCCCCTGCAAAGCTGGATTTCCTCCTGCCGGTCATTACTCTACAGATGAATTTATTCATCCCATAGGGCATGGTAAAGCCAAGGGCAGGGGTGCAGGATGGCACCAGGACCATGCACCCGCCCTGCCACGCGGCGGACCCCAGGCAGGGGCCAGCCTCAGCTCCAGGCTGCTCCTTCCACCCCCTTTATTTAAACACCTCCAGGAAATACCACCCCCACTGTCTCCACTACAGAAATACATGGAATTTTATGTATTTTACGTGTATTTTATGTATTTTACATGTATTTTACAGGGGTAGGATCAGGCCCTGCACTATGCCGGCATAAATACCACTCGGTTCCTTGCTTTACTGCCTGGTCCCGTGGTCGGAGCAGGCAAATCTCTGCCAAACACCCCCCGAAGGAAGCAGTTCATGGGGACAGGGCCCTGCTTACCAAGCGTGGGGTGCAGGATCAGCCCCCCTGGCTCACTGCCTCCTCCTGCAGCCCTTCATTGCCAGCGATTTCTCTTCCTCGCCCCGGGTTCCCTACGGCCTTCTGTGCAAAAATCAGGTTCCTGAAGCTTGGGATAAATGAGAAAACAATTCTGTTAGCAACAAAGAACTAAAAAAAATACATATGTATATATAAAAAATTAAATAATAATTTAAAAAGGGGAGAAAACGGTGTCATTCACACATGCCGAGTGCCCTGCAGCAGCCGGGGCAGTTCAATGGTTGGTTGTAAACCATCACTCTTCGCTGCTGCGACGCCAGTGCTGTTTTTAATTTCTAGGTTAACGAGTTGCTGCAGAAGCAAGTGAAAAAAAATATCCAGAAACAAACAGCCCAGAAGCAGGAACAAGGTTTGAGGCGTTTTTCTGCCTGGTTCCCACACCTCAGCGAGGCGGACGGTTAAAATTAGCTCCACTCATCTCCATTGAAGTTTCCGTGATGCACCCACAGCACAACCACTCTGAATCAGCCCAGCAGAAATTACGGGTCAAGTACAGAAATCAAATCGTCTCCCCCTTCCTCGAGGCTTCACAATGGCCTAATTGCTGTTTTCAACACCAATCTATAAACCGGAGCTTTTTTTGCCCGAGTGGGATCAGCCCGGAGCTAAAGCCGACCTGGTGCCGCTTGCTGCTTCAAGGCGCAGAGAAACACAGGGGATGCGAAGGCTATAAATAAGCCGACGAACAGCAACAAGGACAAACTATTTCAGAAACTCCGCGTTTCGCGGGGCTGAATCCACTCCCTGGATGGGGCTTTGCTGGGCAAGAGAGCCGGGAGCCACCCGCCAAGCCAAGATGGGGCTCCACATCTCAGGCATCGTGGCTGCAAAATTCCCCCCCCCGGTGCTGCTGGCGGCCACAACAGCGTGTTTTAATGCACTCCCAAAGTGGATTAAAATAAACAGTCATCCCAAACCCGCGGGGATGCATCTCAAGGCCGGTTGCCATTTGCCTGGCTTGCTTTGGGCACCCCGCCAGCAGGCACATATAAATAGCCGGAGCCGATCCCAAATGCTGTGCCCTCTACCCTCACTGTGCACCGCGGCCGCACCAAAAAAGGCAGCTCATCGGGGTGGCCCCGGGATGAAGCCACCCCAGGAGCATCGCCGCCTGCAGCACCGGTCCCCGGCAGTGGCACGGCACAGCCAGGCATCCCGTCCTGCCCCCAGAGCATCGCCTGCATCTGAATTTCCAAGGGTTCATGCTGAACTTTGATGGGCTAGAGCAAAATTGAATCATGAAGTCTTTGCCACACTTGAGAGCAGAGCATGCCCTGGCCGGTGGGAGTTAATTGGCTTGACCAGGATAAACATATCAAGGCTGATTAATTCAAGCAGCCTTCCCCGGGCTCTGTAAACAGGCTAAAAGTCATCCAAGCACCATCGTAACATTGGCTAGCGTGGAAAATCGAAGGGGTTTTTCCCTCTGCGTCTGTGCAAAGGCACCAAGCACAGGGTTTTGCAGAAATGGCCCTTTGAGATGATACCTTCCCCGAGAGAAACCCGAAAGTGGGATCCCACTGTTGAACACAGCCCCGCGGGACGTGGGACAACTGCTAATGACGGCGCAGCCAGTTCTCCTTAACAAGCACACGGGGAGGCTGAGGAGGAAGAGGAGAACAGCCGTATTCCCAGCCAGAGGGAAAACTAAAATAGCTGGAATGGGGGGAATAAACCCAAAGGGAGAAATACAGCCTAGGGGCTTTGGCTTCACCAACCCACCCAAGTCCTTGCCCGGGGAAAAGCGGCACATTCTAGTATGAATTCCAGCAGATCCTTATGTAAAAGCGAGCAGCACATGCCCGCAAAATCCTCAGGAAATATAACAGCCTGGTGTATAGAAATGATTTATCGGCACGGCTTTTGGCTGCAATCCATATATAACCCATAGCGGCTGCGGCAGGATTATCAAAGCAATCAGTCTTGCATCTAATTCAGCAAGGAGAGGGATATTAAAATGAAAAGAGGTCTGTGAAACCCTGGCAGCAGCTCTCCCTCTTGCTCAGCGTCCACGTGGCTTTAGTGGAAACGAATGGGAGCGAAATCGGCCCCTGTGAGGGTGAAGTGATTTTTACAGCCCCCTCCTGCCGCCCCAGCTCTGCTGTGAGCGTGTGGGCCCTGCCTGGTCCCTGCTGGGATGCAGCCACCTCCAGATGGGAACACGCTGACCGATTTCGGGGGGCGCAGAGGATGACACCTTGCAGCCAGCACTGGCTGCACAGATTTAAATCGGAGCATACGGACACACCGGCCTGTCCTTCCCTCCCTGGAGCTCTTTCTCTACCCAGGCACAGGGCGGGCGATAGGACGGCATCCCCGGCTCCCACCGGCTTCCACGCGCTCGCCTTCCCCCCGTGCGCTTCCCTCCGGCAAGGCCAGACGCGGTGTCAGGGTCAGACCCTCCCAAGCGAGTGAGACGTGGTGGCAGCTCCGGCAGCACCACCTCCATCCAACCTTCCATGGGGATCAGCTCGTGCACTGCAAAAAAAGCTGTTCATAACAAAATTGAACACAAACCACCTAAAACAAGGCTGATTTTACTCGCAGAGGATCCTCCCTCTGGTACCGCCGAACGTCTGCAGTTAAAAGTTAACCAGGGCCAGTGCACGGGGCAGTTATGGGCTCTCGCTGGGCAGAGTCCAGTGGCTATTTTGCTTTCCCCAGTCACTGTCAGCGGTGGAAGCGGCAGTGCCAAGAGCGGTGTCATCTGCAGCAACGGGGGCATCAATCACAGTTTCCCTTCCTATGGGCGAGCGCAGACCTTGCCAGAAATATATTAGTCACTCTAGTATACAAAGACCATATGCATCCCCGCCTGACTTTCAATGGAAAAAAATCTCTCAGCAGCTTCTCTGGAAGTCAGAGGACACCCCAAATAACGAGATACTGGAAACAGGCACCCAGCCCCCATCTGCGTCAGGTCTCTGCGCCCAAGCAGCGAAGCTTTTCATCGCCCCTGGGGCAAACAGAAGAGCTTCCCGCGCTGCCTGGCCCATCCAACACAGGGGGGAAAGCACTGGGGAAAAAATACAAAGCTGGGCTGGTAGCATCGTAACAGCACGAAACCCAGTGGCCGGTTTCAATAGGAATCCAAAAACATCTTTAACAGGATTTTTTTATAATCTTGATGATACCACCTAATACTGCTTAAGCAATATATAATGAGCATCTCAAAACAAGAGTGTAACCTCCAGACCTGGTGTTGAGCATAGGCCGGGATGAGCTCAGGGCACCATCATCGCCTCGTCCAGCGCCGCTGAGCGGCTCCTGGCTCTCCTGGAAACAACAGCTCCCGCCCGCCATGCCCACAAGAGAGGAAACGAGAGCGGCTCTGCACTTTGTGAACACCACTTAAAAGACATTAGGGCTGAGCTGAAAGCAAAGCCTCCTCCAAATTACTGCCCCAATCTGATAACAGCTGCCTTCCCCGGAATGGCGCTGGTGGATCAGACACCCCTCGCAGCGCTCTCAGGGACGGGCTCGTGGGTTTTCTTGGCTGTTTTTCCCAAAACAAAGTGCTCAGGGAGAGGGGCCAGGAGAGGGATGGGGCTCCTTCCCCTGGGCGAGGGGCTGCATCCCTGGTCAGAGGCCACGAAGGCAGCTCCAGCCACCACACATCCCCTCCCCAGCACGGTCCCTGGCCCTGAGGACAACCCGGTCCTGTCCCCAGAGATGGCTTCTGGTCCTGTAGCATCGCACAGCCGCACGCCCAGCCCACGGCTCCATCGCACCAGCTTCCTGCGCTCATCCCGCCGCTGCTTTTGGTCTTTACCGTTACTTCATGCTCCCGATGCTCCGTGCCGTGCACGTGGCCGCAGGGCTGCGTCCCACCTCCTAACCACGCTCGGTCACTCGCAGCAACCCAACCTGTGGCTTCTCCTAATGAGACCTGTCCCCTCTACACCATCCTCCACCAGCTCCGTCCCCTCCATCTTCTCCTGGCCTCTCACTTGCCCCTTCGCCTTAAAAATCCCCTCCTTTTCGCAGCCCCACGGCCTAACTCTCCCCAGTCCCCCGCTCCGAGCCCTCGCCTCCCCGGGCAGGAGCCCCATGGGGTCCGCGGGACGCCTGGTGTCGCAGGGACGGCCACCACCCGGTCACATCCCCAAGCCTGGGATGCTGCCAGCCCATCGGCTACCCCCCGCGCACCTCCGGGCCGGGGGGGGGGCCGAAGGGGCGGGGGGAGG